AAATAGATCCAGATCTACAGGAACACAGATCTAGAAGGTCATAAACCACAACGACCCTATTCTTCAAGTGTAGAAAATTCAATTTTAAGTTTCAGATTCCCAATTAAATTGCCAACAGATCTAACGAATAAAAGAAACCAGCAGCGACAACAAGAAGAAAATATCACTTATGAACAGATAGAGAAAGCAGAAAAGCCATTCAAAACCGAAATTTTGCTAGATCCTCAGCAGATGAAAACACAATTGCTACAAAGAAACAAAACATAAAGCCAAAGAACTGTAATCTCAATTGGATATTTGAAGATTATACCTGCTCTAGAATCGCCTTGGAGTTCGGAAATGGGGGTGAGAGGGGACTGGCAGTGCGAGAGGGCCAATGGCGGAGGCTGTTGCGTGATTTATATGCTGGCTGACCTTTTTTTTTTTGTTATTTTTTTTTCCTAAGACGGGTTTTGGGAGAAAAGTCTCACTTTTTCATCCGAGAAAATAGTTATTTTCACCGCGTCTAAAATGAGTTTAGTTTTTCACACTATCAATTAATAACTTTTTAACTTTTTCATTATACTAACTTCAAAACAAACCATGCAACAGGTTACACAGTTGCACTAAGTGCAAAACAAATCATGCAACAGACAGATGAAAATACTTAATAAAGTGTGAAATATTTATGTGATAACTTATGTGACACACAGACGAAAATAATTGATAAAGTGCTAAATATTTATGCGATAAACTATGCGACAGATAGATAAAAATAATTTATATAGCAAAAAAAGCTTATGCAATAAACTATGCGGCAACAATGTGAAGATAGTTGATAAAGTGCAGAACAAATTATGCGATAAACTATGAGACAGAAAGGCGAAGATATTTGATAAAGTTCGAAATAAAATATGCCATATGCTACGGACATGCGAAGATAAATGATAAACTGCAAAATATTTATGCAATAAACTCTGAGACAGACATGCAAAAAATATTTGATAAAATGCGAAAATCTTATGCGATAAACTATGCGACATAAAAGTGAAGATAAATGATAAAGTGCAAATTAAATTACGCGATAAACCATGCAACAAAAAAGCGAACATAATTGATAAAGTGCGAAAAATCTTATGTGATAACCTATGCGATAGAAACGCAAAGTTAAATGACAAAGTGTGAAACATATTATGCAACAAACTGGACATAAATAATAATGTGCAAAACAAATTATGCGATAAAACATGCGCTAGACATGCGGAGATTATTAGACAAGCGTGAATTATTTATTTGATAAACTATGTGATAGACAGACGAAGATAACTAGACAAATGCGAATTATTTATGAGAATTTGAGTGCGGCAGACATGCAAAGATAATCGGGCATAGTGCAAAATACATATGCGATAAACTATGCAACATAAATGCGACTTAATGAAAAAGTTAAACAAAATATATGCTATAAACTATATGTTTGTAGTATTTTTGGGTAAGTGGTAACCGAACTACCTGGACTCGGGTCGTTCTCAAAGGAAGGCTATTCGGACACGGATTCAAGCAACGATTTACTCACACGAAAAAAAAATAAAAAGTCCTAAACATTCTACTCGCATTTTGGTGGTTGAATTACGCTAAAGATCACAATTCTAAACTAGACTAAAGCAAGCAAGTCCTCAAAGTGCACGAAAAAGAAAAATAGAGAGAAAAATAACAAGGTACCCTAAGACCCAAGATGGAAAGAAAGCACTCATAGGTTCGGGAACATATAATCAAGCAATCGTCACTCACGATCAACCAATCGATCTCTCAATCAATTCTCGCTCACTCAATTATGCTAACGCAATCAATAACAAAATCACATAATCCCTAGCCTACGAGGATGAATGCATATTCTACTCATGAAAGCTCCTAACCTTTACCCTAGAATGAATTCAATAAGTAAAGACAAGACAAGACTCACAAGATCTTGAACCTTCAACTAAGTCTCCGATTGAACCTTAAACGAAGTCTCCAAGTCTCTAGTGCATCCACGAGAAGAATAAGCCGGAAAGTTGTAATCTTGATGGAGAAATATTACAATGAAAAATAGGGTCTTGGAGCCCTTAGAGAGAGAAAGAAAACTAGAGAGAAGGAGGAGAGAAAAACTAAAAGAAAAATTTTAGCAAATGAGGGATTGTTTCAAAATTACAAATCAACAAGTCTATTTATAGCTACACCTCAAACACACACTAATAAACACACATTAAACGATAAAACTCGCGAGTTTTGGCTCAGATTTCGCGAGCAAATTTCGCAAGCACTGCGGCAAGGCACGGGAACTCGCGGGCTGAAGGGTTGTCTAAGGGCGCGGGGCGCTGGACTCGCAGGCAAGGGTGCAAGAGACGCGGACTCGTGGCCTAGGCAGCTTTCGCGGGCGCGGAGTCCAGGATTGACGTGCGGGGAACTCGTGGGTAAACGGGATTTCGAGGGCACGGATCTCTGAACTCACGGGTGACATGGCGCTGGAGCTGGGGAACTCGCGGCTAAGCTGTTTTCGCGGGCGCGGACAGGAACACTTGCGGGCAGTGTGCGCTCTTGGAGGAACTCGCGGGCATCAGGTTTTCGCGGGCGCGGAAGGCTGAACTCGCGGGCTGTACGCACGGGCGTGGACTTGGACGAACTCGCGGGCACGAAGTGTGGAACTCGCGGGCAGGTGCTGGGGCGCACGCGAGTGTGGCGCGGGTGTGGGCATGCTGCACGCGGGTAAGGGCTTGGTCATGGTCCCTTGATGCTCAATTTGCTCTAACTTCTCGCACGTTTCTCCGATTGACTTGAAACTTTGACCCACGCTCCTCAAATCTTTTCCTCCTCGACATGGAATGTTCAAATCGATATCACCACGCAATTAGTAAATATGCTCGGAAATGGTTCGCGTGGCTCGGACATGATTCGGACGGCTCGGAAATGGCTCCTCTTCCCAAACTCAACTATTGTTGACCTACACAACACCAAAAAGACAAGAATAGTACGCCGAACCACGAAAACACAATACGAAAGCAAAAATGCATGAAACACGATAAAATGGACCAGTCGATACTAAAACGAACCTAAAAATACTAAACAAAAACACATAAAACACACGAAAATAAGTACAAAAACACAATAAACAACTCCCCCACACTTAACTCTTGGCTTGTCCTCAAGCAAACAAAACAACAAGTAGCTCGAAAGGAAAAATTGAGAAGTCCAAAATTAACGAGCATGCGAAATGAAACTCTCATCTTCATTCAGATGTCCATAAAATCAAAATCCAATCCGAAAACACGTTCCCCACATAATGAATCCATGCAAAACAAAAACTCGTCCTAAGTTATTCTACACATGATTACACGATTCAACCTCCCATTTCCTACATACACGTGCAAAAAACTATAAATGGTCTACTCCACAGATAAGGATGATAAGCATGAAACCGATAAACCAACTCCCATTCTTCTTTTTCTTCTCTTTTTTTTTTTCTTTTTTTTCTCTTTTTTTTTGTTTTGTTTTTCTTTTTTTCTTTTTTTTATTATGTGAGCTTCTTTTTTCAAACGAGGTTTCCTAGACAATGCTTATCTAGGTTTAACCTCGAGGGGTCTCCTCGAGTTCCCTAGACCGGTTTTCCGGGCTCATTATCCCATTCCACGAGGTGGCTCGGGATAAGAGGAGCCTAGTTTGTACCTCCTCGCGAATTCACATTTTCTTTTTTTTTTTTTCGAAAGGAGTGGCACACAAGGATACATCACGAATACAATATCATGAACATCACAAATCAATCAAAACGTACCACAAGTGTATAGCATAACACGTTTACAATAATCGAACAGAAGGCAAGTATGTCTCAAGATCACCAATCGAGAACAAACGAGGGACAAAACAATTCCGTGAATTCACATGCGGGTTCCCATGTCAACGAATTATAAGTCAATTTTAGGACACCGTCTAATTCATCAAGTACATAAAGCACCAACGTTAATAAAGGAACCAATCAACAATCTCGACTGACCACTTAGTCATCTTGACTCTTGAACTAACATCGAGCCTCATGCGGGAGAGAGGTGACACAAACACACAAAAACTTAAACAAAACCGGTCCATGACACGACAAATACGAAAATAAAGCACCAAACATGAAAGAAATATCGCCTTGACATGCATAATCACTAAATCCCTCCCCCACACTTAAAACAAAGCAATGTCGTCATTGTTTGACCAAAAACCATAGAAGAAAGAACATAATCATGTAAGCTCATGCGATACACAAAACGAAACACAATAAACGAACACACAAAAGAAAGGAAACACGAAGACACACAAGAGCAACTAAGAGAAAAAGAAAATAGGAAAAGAAAATGCGTACTCTAGTGATCCACCATGTGTCTAATGGTGTTCATCCGGTGGGAATAACGAGAAATGATCCGAATGTCCTCGAGTGCAAAATAAAACCATATATATCCGAACGATTGAACAATAAAAGCATATCGAGCCATACGCCAACCGGGCACTATGACATGTGGATGCATAATTCGTTGGATCCGAATAAAGACCACATGTATGCGTCTCGGAGGGATAATAATCGGGAATCCACAAACTCGACGAAGACACACGTATGCGTGAAAGCTCGAAATTCGGACCTCGAACTCCATAATAATACTTGCCATGGCATGACACATAATCAACAAAATCACTACATGCCATGAACACCACATATCCCAAATAATCAACAAAACGAACCCCAACACCGCAAGGCAACCATGCCACTCCTCCGAATTTTCAATACAAGCTCACGAACCCCAAAACACCTCCCCCACACTTAGTGTAAATCACCTCCAACTTAATAAAATCACGCCCAATTCAACTACATACGGCACGAGTAGGTCTAAGTGAAGTACCTTGTAAAACGATGATCTCGACACCAAGAGTAAGAAAAATCGGGCAAAGACTCGTGTCCAAGCTCCAAAAGAGTGAAAAATCCATGAAAACGGGTGAAGGAGGTGGAATCGCCGCAAAATAAGGTTTTCAGTGGCTCCAACAGCTCGAAACGGTCCTGGGAGGCCGAAAATGTCATTTCCAGCCGGAAAATGTCGACGGCAGCCGGAAAACGGGTCCCAAGAGGTTCGCCGGAAATTTGGCTGGAAAGTCATCGGAAAATATCGCCGGCGGCCACCGGGTGCGCCGGGGCTCGGTGGTTCGTCCGATGGCTCGATGATGGCTTGGGTGCGGTGCATGCGGGGCGTGGGACATGGCTCGGTGTGTTAGGGTCGCTAGGCACGGGCCAGGTGTTGGT